ATTGGAAGACATAAGTTACATATCGTTAGAGTCTTCAAAGAGCTCGTTTCGCAAATTACAGATTTACATATCTGTAATTTGCGAAACGGCGCACTTCTGACCTTTTGGCTCAAACTCTTTATTTACAAATCATCACTGCATCGAGTTGTATCTACGAATAGTGTTTAAGAATCGGAAGAAATAAGTTATATATCGCTAGAGTCTTCGAAGAGCTGGTTTCGCAAAATACAGTACGGGTTTACTCTTTTCGTTTGGTTTCGTTTCGCAAAATACAGTAAGCCGTGAACAAGGCAGATTCAAACGGTATCTCCTTAAGTATAAAAAAAGAGAGGTGATATTTTCTGGCTTTCGGATTTTCATAATTACACTTTGCATCTGTCGGTTTGGCAATTAGCAACAATCCAACCTCAGTGAAGCTATATTTATAGATTTTCGTTCGGGATAATGTCAGCTGGGCGGAAACTCGGTGAATATTACGGAAATAATAGTTTATATAACAAGACGAAATGAACGGTCGCGCAAGAACGAGAAGGATTCAAGGAATATACCTCTAAAATACTTTATTGAAGCCAGACTGAACCCAATTAACGATAATAATAAAAGAAAAGCGGAAAAGTAATAAACAAAGAAATAAATGAATAGATAAATAGATAAACGGGAACAACTAACAGAATACAGTAACAGAGAAAGTCTTCGTCTTCTTACAAGTGATCCAATGTAACTCGAAATAACCAACTGAAGGACTAAGTGAAACAGCCTCTATTTATGTGAAACGAACAAGTATAAGAAAACATTCTTAAGATTCTACAACTTGTTGCCGAAACTTCGCCCTTCCGAATTGCAGCGCGCGGTAAGGACGTCCTGTACTTGTTTCGCTATCGAATTGTGATCATTATATCAAAACAAACAAGATAATTTTGCCGAAAGGAAATTAGTTAAAACGACGCCTGAGAAATTAGTACGTCTCACAAATAGGTGTAACTTTGGGATATCCGTTTAACACCATGATATACTACATTCCAAAACGATCACTAGGTCCCATCCTAAGAGTAGAAAGATTATTAGGATAAAATAAAGAAAAATACTGAAATATAAGAGCCTCTAGTTTATTCCAAAATATGTGTCTAGTAACTGTCACATTTAGAATCTTAAAAAAAAAACAAGAACGAATTTTAAGGCTGTTATCGTACTTTTCCATTTTACATGTGCCTCATTATTACGAAACGGAAAAAAACACTATTTTCAGGAGAGGGAGTAATGGATGAAGAGACCTGCCAAATGAGAAAACTAACAAAATTGTAACTATATCAATACACATCACATCCTCTTACAGCTTCCCTGTGACTGTTTGTGAAATATCTTTAACCTAGACAAATAACATAAATGTGTTACTTGAAAGTCTAGCCTTAAATTGGTTGTACACGGCAGTCAACAAACTGCTGGATCTGGATTCCGCAAGCCAGCGACCTTCTCAGTGAGGTTAAATACGACGACGTCTACATTTAGAAAAAATAATTCAACGGTTTACCATTGAATACTTTATCCAACAAAGATCCATCTCTGTGTAACACAATGGCTAATTATCTACCAAGAAGTTGTCCGTGGTGTAATATAAATTCGCCATAGGCATCAATCCAGCTCCAGCTCGCCATAAAATACAACAGCGTCCAGCTAGAGAAAACATTTGACTGTTTACAATAGCATCCCTCTTATCCAACAAAGATGCCCCCCCCCCCCTGTAAAGACGGACAGTGACTAATTACTTATCAAGAGATCGTCCGTGGTGTAATAAAACTCCCACAACAACCTTTCAGCTCCAGTTGGCTGTAAAACATAACAAAGTCCAGTTTGAAAAGAATATTTACTGTGTCCTATAGAATCCCGCTGATACAAAATCGATGCACCCCTGTCAGGAACGACAATGGCTAATAATCTGCTTGGAGGTTGTCCGTGGGGTGTTATTATTCACTCTAAACAACCTTTCAGCTTTAGTTAGCCATTGGCAACCTGCTCTAAACAAAAGTGCTTCACATCTAAAAAGAAGACTAATCGGAGCCAGTTTTAAGAGCCACGAGTACTTTTAACCAGGTATGTAAGTAACTTCTCTGCAGCTTATTGTAAAGTCGCTTTTTCAAATTAGATCTAAACTGAGCCAGGAGACGTTAAGCGAAAACCCGTGTTGTCTTATTCGTTTTAATATGGAGGTACTTCAATGCTTAACCTAACCAAGCATATCAACACGTTATTAATAAGTGTAGCCTTAAATGTGCTGTACGCTGCAGTCAACAAACTGCTGTTAAGCTCTTCATTTTGCTTAACAGTCCTTTAACATCAAATACTTCCTTTTTGCTTTTTTTTTTAGGACATGAGAGTCTCGCTCAACTTGTTCGTTGTCTATGTGGTTCTTCCCCTTGAACAAATTTCATCCTGCCCAGATGGTAAGTTTTATAAAATGAAGAAACTTTATTTCTTTCCTCTTAAGTTTTCAGGTATCCAATTCACAGGAAAAAAACACTGAAACTTCTTCTATGTAAGGTCTAACAAACAAAATGGCTGCGAAACTCTTCGTCCATTCAACGTCTTGTTATCTTTTTTTCATTAAAAAATAATATCGATTCTTTTCCAATATTTTTGTAAGTAAGTTAGCAAAGTTTCTCCATATGACCAAACAATCATGTCTTAACGCGTCGTATTTTTCGCTGCATGCCTATAGTCTGTACTTCTTTAGAAACACTCAAATGAAGATCCACTAAAGTTTTCGCAAGGTCATCCAAAGACAAGAATTTGGCAATTTTACTGATATGTGTGGGGTCCCGTTGGTATTCAATAAAATAAAGAGCCTATAGTTATGGTTGCCTCGCACTCAGGGAAGAAAAATGAGGTATTCACAAGTTGAAGAAGGAACGTAATGAATTCGAGAAATTTATTTCCTTTTTTACGGGAACTGAGCACCCGACCAACATGGAACGAGGATTTCTATTTGGGCACATTTTCGTTAACACACAACAAGACGTGCGTATTTTCAGTCGTTTACAGAGCCCTCCACCATTATTAAGCCTGCAATTTATCAAGTCAAATGAGAAAGTTTTTCATAGATAAGAAAAACAGAGACAAAATTGTTGAAACTTACTGCGAATAGCGGGGCCATAAAGACTTCGCGCGTGACAGGTGGCGAAGAAGTAAACGATGTGGATATTAAACCACTGCCATAGTGATATAAACATCCCTGCATTAATCCGCGGTCAATATAGGTACCTTTTTTGGAGGACAAATAATTCCAGCGTTCTCCGGCTCGAAATACAGCCACTAATGCTACTGAGTATAAGGTATTTCTATAGATATGTCAGAGTCGATATACTATCATAATAATATAATATACGATAGAATTGCTTAGCTTAAAGTAAACACGCGCTCTGATTGGTCAATACGTCAACCGGAAGAGAGGGTATTTATCGTGGAATCGCACTAATGCATAAAGCGATATCGCTGACGTGAATCGCGTGCAAAAATTATCGTTACGAACGTAAAAACGTAAATACAACTAGTGCTACGAAAATATGAACATATATGAACAAACTTATAGAAAACGAATGTCTTCCAAATTTTGATTTGAAATTGAAATTTTTAGAAAATTGGAGGAAACCACTCACGCTCAAAAGTACGAGAAAACGCATAGAAAAAAATCAAAATGCCAGAGACGAGGGAAGAAAGCCAAACGACAGTTCTCGCCAAGGAAAACCAAACAAGCGTTACGAAAGAAAACCAAAACAGGTATCAATGCCGAAAAAGGTCAAGCATCTTTTCCCGAAATCCCTTTCT